GATGTTTTTCTGGAACTCTCTTGCTTTTTTGATGATCTAGAGGATGTTGGCAATTTGATCTCTGGTTCCTCTGCCTTTTCTAAAACCAGCTTGAATATCTGAAAGTTCATGGTTCACATATTGTTGAAGCCTGGCTTGGAGAATTTTGAGCATTACTTTGCTAGTGTGTGAGATGAGTGCAATTGTGTGAGATGAGTGTAATTGTGTGGTAGTTTGAGCGTTCTTTTGCATTGCCTTTCTTAGTGATTGGAATGAAAACTGACGTTTTCCAGTCCTGTGGCCACTGCTGAGTTTTCCAAATTTGCTGACATGTTGAGTGCAGCATTTTCTCTGCATCATCTTTTCGGATTTGAAATAGCTCAATTGGAATTTCATCAGCTCCACTAGCTTTGTTTTTAGTGATGCTTCCTATGGACCACTTGACTTCACATTCCAGGATGTCTGGCTCTAGGTGAGTGATCACAACATCATGATTATCTGGTCTTGAAGATCTTTTTTATATAGTTCTTCTGTGTATTCCTGCCACCTCTTCTTAATATCTTCTTCTTCTTTTAGGTCCACACCCTGTCTGTCCTTCATCGAACCCATCTTTGCCTGAAATGTTCCCTTGGTATCTCTAGTTTTCTTGAAGAGATCTCTAGTCTTTCCCATTCTGTCGTTTTTCTCTATTTCTTTGCATTGATCACTGAGGAAGGCTTTCTTATGTCTTCTTGCTATTCTTTGGAACTCTGCATTCAAATAGGAATATCTTTCCTTTTCTCCTTTGCTTTTCACTTCTCTTCTTTTCACAGCTATTTGTAAGGCCTCCTCAGACAGCCATTTTGCCTTTTTGCATTTCTTTTTCTTGGGGATGGCCTTGATCCCTGTCTCCTGTATATTGTCACAAACCTCTGTCCATAGTTCATCAGGCAGTCTATCAGATTTACAATGCTAGCTTCTGCTACGCAAGGTAGTGACTCAGCCATATGTATGCATATATCCCCTCCCTCTTAAGCCTCTCTCCCGAAACCCTCATTCCACTCTTCTAGGTCTTCACAGAGCACCAGACTGGACTCCTGTGTTAAATAGCAGCTTCAAACTAGCTATCTATTTTACACATGGTAGTGTGTATATGTCAGTGTTCCTCTCTCAATTCATCCCCCGCCACCACCTTTTGCCCTCTGTCCACAAGTCATTTCTCTAAGTCTGTGTCTCTGTTTCTACCCTGCAGATAGATTCATCTACTCCATTTTTCTAGATTTTATATATATATATATTCATTAATCTATGAAATGTTGATTTTTTATTTCATTTATTCATGCCTTAAGTTTCTCCAAATTCTGTTTGAAATAGTAGAAGACATCAAAGCAACAAGGGCCAGAGCGAGATGCAGAGAGGTATAAGAGAAAAAGAGGAAGTGTGCCTTTACAAGGCTCATACTATTGTCATTTTATATTTAGACTCTGCCATAGTCATTTGAGAATAATATATTTGAGCAATTAACTTCAGTGCAAAGAAAGATGAGATAGAAAAAGAAAAGAAAAACAATGAAAGTAGTATTTTTCTTTGTTGTGAACTTCTGGAGGGATGGAATTGTATTACTGGAGTGGTTTCCTTTTTGTTTTATATTAAAACAGAACAAATGGAACTAGGATAATCACTATTCCAATAACTGTAAGATTTCTACTGGTGTGACTAATACTATTTTTTGTTAGTCTCACCTTGAAATATAATGAGTTGGGAAGTCTCTTCCATTAAATTTTAAAGTATTTAAGCACCTGGGGTTTTAGAAATATATTTACCCTGGCATATATTTTAAGGCAAATTTTTATGAAAGAGATAGGTAAAAGGTTAAATAGTTCCCAAGGGCTGGTATTTTTATCATAGACATTATGTCCACTTTCCCGAAGAAATTGTCTGCCAGACAACTGAAATTGCAAACTTAGAATGATGAAATTCATCCAGTGTTTATTAAAGTGCTTGAAATGAAGGCTATTTCATTTACAAGAGTGAATTCTCATTAGATTCTGTGGCATTTTCTGAGAGCAAGAAATGGAAAGAAAGAACAGAAATCACTGTTTTGTTTAGCCATTTTCTCTTTTTCCATCACTCACTTATTTATTTTTACACTTGACTGACTTACTAAGTGTCCCATTTTCTTTTGTTCTCATTTTTGTTAATTGAAGTATAGCTGATTTATAGCATTGTGTTTTTATAGCTTGCCAGCATTCATTTAAAAAATCTCCCAATATATGCTGCTCAAGGTGCCTATTTCAAAAACACTAACTTTGCAAGGTCATCTGGAGAAAGAGTACAGTGGACTCTATATTTGCACATGATGAGGCCAGCTGGGTACCCTCCCCTCCTGTGGGCGTTTACAGTGCATGTCTGCACAGTACAGTCCATGACGGGTACAACCAAACTACTGCCACCAGTCTCCAGCCTGGAGGTTACTGATTGATTCCAGCTTATTACAAACCTATTTCCTTAAATGAGGGCATTTTGGGGTGTTCCTAAAATCCTTATAAACATTGGCACATCAGTTTTTCTTTTATTTTTTAATTGGTCTGTCTTCCAAATTTCCTTTGGATGCACATCATTCTCTGTTTTTAAGAACCTTAACTTTTAAAAATAATTTACTTTTAATTGGAGGAGAATTTCTTTACAATGTTGTGCTGGTTTCTGCCATTCAACAACACAAAGATGTGGTACATATACAGTGCAATATTACTCAGCCATAAAAAAAGAACGAATTTGAGTCAGTTCTAGTGAGGTGGACGAACCTACAGCCTGTTATACAAAGCAAGGTAAGTCAGCCAGGGTCTTAGCTTCATGTGCTCATTCGCTGTGGTGGATACATGGAGAAGAGCTTTTAGTTCATCCTTATCAAGTGCTCAGTAATTTGAGGAGACTGAAGATTTGACCAACAGTTTGGCCTAGTTGAATGTGTTTTCTCTAAGTTACGGTGATTCTCTCATTGTAACTTTTAAAGCTCTTGTGAAAGAAGTCTTTGCATGGGTATTACCCCCTCCACTTATAGAAGAATCTGATTGGATTGATCATAGAGAAAAGATAAGTGTTTTTGAATTTTCTAGCATTTCCACTTTGTGCCCTTTGGTGTTACTCATTTGCTTATTAATTCTGTATTTCTGGGTACCTGACTTCCTGTCTAATGGATCACTGTCCTCATGCCCCTGATCCTGGACCCTAAGAGGCAAGCCTTGGTTTAAGTGTAGTAGTGATGAGTGGATGCTGTTATTGTCTCAAGAATGTAGTCTCTACAACAAGGATTTGCTGTTATAGATGTCATTTTCTTCTTTATAAGTTAGATGTAAGGGCAAGCGGGGGGATCAAAATGAAACCTTGTCACTTCACAGCTGAAAGAGTACTAATACCAATTAGTCCAAATTCAATCCAGAGTAAAACTCAGAATGTTACACATTTTGACATTTCCTATGAGACTCAAAAGCAAGCCCACTCACCTCTGAGTCAAAATATTACTTTGTCACCATTTATATATTTTATATAGTACAAAAGAAAATTTGACAATAATATGCATTCCAATTTTATAGTTAAATTATCATGTTTCAGAGTTATTATATTTTTAAACAATTACAATTAAAATTTTGTTCTCTATAGGCAGTAGAAAAGAAGTTTCACAAAATCACATCCCTTTCCTCAATAAAAAATTATTCCCAGTTTACTGAAGTAAATTTTTTTTTACCTGAAAACATAAAATTAAGGGGAATAAGATCTTCATAAAATCCTATGACTAAAAGAAAAATCAGTGCTTTCATTTTACGGTACAGATGGGTTATACATTTAAAAAAATTAGAATCATACTGTTTTGAATAGACTACATTTGCATATGATGTTCCCCATGGCTTATATCTCTCATTAACATGATTTTTAATGATAGAGTCTTAATATTTGAGGATGTTTCAAAGGAACACATCTATCATATAAGAGAAAAGAATGCATAGCATACGTTTCTGTCACCTTTTGGGAGATTTTATTCCTTTACTTGTTTTTATTATATTTCTTATCTGCTTAAGTATCTCTTTAATAATTTAATTACTTTGTTTTTCCTTGAAATTCAGAAAGCCCACACTGTCCTTTAAATTACTGTGATGGGGATTCCTTGGCAGTAGAGTGGTTAGGACTCTGTGTTTGCTCTGTGGGGGCCCAGGCTCAGACCCTGGTGGGGGAACTAAGATCTCACAAGCTGCATGGCCAATAGATAAGTAAATAAATAAATTTTATGGGCAACTTTAAAACCAGCTTAGTAATATAAGATAATTTCCACAGAATGCCTATTGTTTCATATTACCAAGGTTAAAATTAAACTAGAGCACAGAATGGAAGATAATTTTACCTCCTTACACCTCTCATGAATGCTTGCTTATGTAAGATGGGATGATATTACTTACTAATAGTAAATTGTGTATCTTCTTTCAAGAATTACTTTTTGCTTACATTGTTTGGAAGCATGCTCAAATGAATTATTTAGTTATTATTTGTTCAGTTTGTAATGGTCACTGTTACTCATTTTATATTGCAATGCAACCATTCTTGAAGTATTCCTTTTGAGATTGACTCCAATATTTGTAAGCTCAAATATCCTCAAGTCTATTTCCATGAAGGGTACACTGATAGCCTATTTCTCAGGCTTTTGGAGACCTGGGAGCACAATTTGTTGCCTGCAGCCACAAACTGTGTCCTATCAGTTCCCCCCAGACTCTTAGATGTTGGCCCATTGTTTTCATTGGCCTCATAATAATAACAACAGTGACAATAATAAAAGTGCTAATTGTGGGAAATGCTGATAACTGTCCACTAAATAGCCATCACCCAACTCCCCCCTTCTGCTTCTTTCTAGCGCTCGGCACCTGCCACTCGCTCTAGTAAGAGTTAACATTTGAGAGACTCCTTCTCCAAGTGATGCCTTCTTTGTGATCTCACCAGAACCTTTAAGAATGTCATCCTCTATTAGCTAGTCAAGGATGCTGCTCTAGCAGTTCTGCCCTATCCTTCTGCTGTCAGCATCTTTTCTCTCTCTAGTGGACCATTCCTTTTAACTCCCCACTTTCATCTAATTTCTCCTCCAGCTCTTCAAAAGGTTGCCTGTGCTCATCATCTCTGAATTACCTCCTTCATTTCTCTTCCAAATGTCTTGCAATATGGCATTCACCAGCACCACTGCCAAAGCCACTGAAGTCCTCCTTACTGTTACATCCACAGGTCATGTCTTCATCTTGCCCTTAAGTAATCATTGGATATCAGCTGTTGGTTCCCTCAACTTGGAAGTCTTTCATTTAGTGTTTTCCAGGATACCATACTACTGATTTTCTTCTCCCTCACTCATTTCTTCTTTCCCATATACATTGTCTGTATAGTTTGCTATGTCCTCGTCTCTTCAGATACTTGACGTTGGAAAGCCTGAAGCTCTTCATAAAACACCAGACTCTTAGAGCCAATTACGCAGTTGACACCTCCACTTGAATATCTAATTTGGCATCTCAGCTACACCATTACCAGATTTATCTCTTCCAAATCTGTACCTCAACTTCCATTTTTTCCTCTTCTCAGTTGGTAGCAACTCCATTTTTTTTCCTGGTGATATGGCCAAAGTCTTGTAATCAATTTATTCTTTCTTTTATACTCCATGCAGAATCCATTAGCAAATCCTCTACCTTCAAAGCATGTCCAGAATTTGGCCATTTCTCCCATCATACCTATGACCCTGTTGTAATCCACAATATCTGACTGAAGTCTTTTAATAATTCCTCAACTCTTCCTACTTTTGGCCTTGCTGTGTGCCTCAATTCCAGTCTATTCTGTCTATCACAATCTTGGGAACCATTTAATATCCCCCCAAAATGCTACTACTCTCTTTCAGACTTCCAGTGTTTACCCATCTTATCCCCATAATGCATGGAGTCTTTGCAGAGACCTTGCTGACACCAGACTGGCCACCTGCCACCTCTTATTGTACCTCCCCTCCTGAGATGGTCCCCACTCACTGTCCTGCAGCCACATGGCCTCCATCCCATTTCTTGAACAAGGCATGCATCGGCTCATTCCAAAACTCTTCTTCTTGGGATGACCTCCCCCAGTTAGAGATTTTTCCTTCCCAAACCCTGTCTATTTTCTTCAATGTCACCCTCCCAGGAAGGTCTTCATTAAGACCATTTTAAAATTTGCAAAACTTACTCATGAGAATTCCTAGTGTTTTTCTCTGCTTTATTTTTTTCTCCCCAGTATCTATTAAATTGCTAATTACCAGTGTTCTATTCCTCCTCCCACCCCATCAAAATGTACTATGGAGGTGGAGATTTTAGTCTTTTTTATTCATATTTCCAGAAACTAAGATCAGTAAGTGGCATATGGCACTTTATAAAATTTTCAAACAAATTAGAGATATTGTCTTACAATATGCTATGGGAAATTGGTCTAGCGATATGAAAATTATAAAGTTGCATGAAGACATCTTTCAAAGCTGTCAGTGTATTGCTGGGTGAACAGAAAAACCTATTTTGGTATAATAGCAGAAATATAAATTAGACTAATTCCATGAATATGAAACCACATAAAACTCTGGCCATTCTCCTTTTTCTCTTCCTCTCCCAGCCTTCATCTTCTGATGGACATGAACATACCTTCTTTTTTTTTTGGCATCTGCTGGAGGCTTCCTACACCCAGGTTCAGTGGACTCAACTTGATTTATGTACATCCCATCTCTTATTTATAATAATGTTTCAGAATTTATATTTTCTTAATTTTTTGAAAACCTGAATGGATTTTTTTTTTTTTTGGGTATCTGTGTGCATCTTCCCAAGAGCAAGGCTCTTCCTATTTATCACAAGTATTACCTTTTATTTCCCGCACATCCAGGATATTTCTGTTTATTCTCACCATCTCCCAACTTTCCTGGAAGAGGAGTGGTCCATTCAGCTCTTTTCTTGTGCCCAAATGGAGAGGCAAGGGGTCTCATTATTCTCTTGGCTGTTTAATCCATCCTTTTCTATATGAAGTTTGAATCTTCTGGTGTGTGAGGCTCCTGCTCAAATACCTGCTGTTTTTCATTTCCTTCTGTGAGAGCTGAGGCAAGGAGAAAGTTTATTCCCTCATGTATAAGAAGGTAAGAAATTCATTATATGAGAATCTGAAAATATCTTTATTTCTTTCCATATAGAAAAGAGTGAATGCATAGTTATCATCCTTAGATTGTAAAACTTATTAGTAAACCGATTTATTGTAGATTATCTCTTAACCCTTGAATATAAAACTCTACAAGATATGCATTTCCACCTCTGAAGGTGTTCAGAGCACTGGACTTTCAGTTTGAAGAGCTGATGCACAGGGCCGAGTGTTTAATGTGATAAAGGGATCTGGATCCTGAGGTGCGGGCAGTTTCCTGGAGATGGTTGACTTGACCGGAAATGCTCTGAGATTTGAGGCAGAAGACTTGAGACATGGACCAAATTATCATCCTTTCCATCCAGGTAGAAAAGTGAGAGATTATCAGTATAACCTGCAAATTACAAAGAGGTCAATTTCAGCTTTGTATATATTGAAATTTATAGAAATTCCTGGCAGAGTCTAGCAATAGTTTCAGGATTGTTATGTGAAGCATTTTAGGTCAATTTAAAACTTTCTGTAACTGGGATGAGAAAGACCTGAGTATGAATTTCAGTTCTTTAACCTTCTGGCTACATGATGTACAAAGAATTCCATTTGTAAGTTTTCTTATCTGTAAAATTATAAACTATCTTATAAAGTTTATAATTGATTAAAATAACATTTACAAATAATTTATCAGGGGTGATATACAGCATGCTTGAAATGTGTGTTGATGCTTTATTGGGAAATTATTCATGATTGTAATTGTAATTTTGCTAAAATGGAGGAAATTGAGTATTAAATTCCTATCTGGATATTATCATAGGTTAAGCACCTTCTTCATTATTTTGTTAAATTTTTTTTCTGAAATGATTGAAATGAAGTTGATCAATGGAATTATTATAGATTTGGTGTCATGGTTGAAATAATATTAACTCTAGCAATTTTCCATTCCAGCAGAAATGTGTGGCTACCTAGACAAGAAAAAAGGAAGAATCAATCCAACTTGCAAAATCTTCCATTTTATTGGAGAACACAAAATTTGAATCAGTGTGTTCAGTCAAGGATGAACTAATAATTCAGTCCCTGAATCAGAAATTGCACCACAATTTAAAGCATAAACTATGTTCCTACTAAAATCAATTGAATAAACATGGACTGTTTTATATCAAATATATATTAGGTTTTCTTATGGAGCAAACTTTTTCTCAGAAAGAGATAATAATTAAACTGTCTTTTCCTGTCATTAAGCAAACCACATACAGCATCCCTTTAGCTGGTGAAAAACAATGATAGGTTTTTAGCTCTTTGAGGGTGCTTTTAGGGTCTCATCACAATACCAAACAAAAAATTAAAAACACAGACACAGGAAAATGTGCTACAGTATTCGTTGAGTTATACCCCAAAGCAAAGTTTCTAGAATCATGATCTGTATGCCTGTTTATATTAACCCTCCCTGGGTTGTTTCTGAGAAACCACAGTAGAAAAACACTAGAGATATGAGCACATTTTAAAAGGCAGATTCGAAACCCAGAGCAGGTGGCCCATGGAACTTAATTCTTGGAAGAGAAGATTAAAAATAGGACTTTGTGTGCCTGAGTTTCCCTGGTGGATCAGATGAAGAATCTGCCTGCAGTTCGGGAGATCTAGGTTTGATCCCCGGGTTGGGAGCATCCCCTGGAGAAGTGAATGGTTACGCACTCCAGTATCCTTGCCTGGAGAATCCCATGGACAGAGGAGCCTGGCAGGCTACAATCCATGGCGTTGCAAAGAGTCAGACACAACTGAGCGATTAACACTTGTGTGCCTTCCGAAAGGGGGTGGTAGGGCTGAAATCCCATGACCCCGGGTCTCAGCTGAGTTTTTGCATGGCTGTTATAATTCTGCCAAGATGCAAAAGTAAACCCAAGGACTGTGAATCTAGTTTCAGAAAGCTCATCAATATTTCTGTGCACAGAATATTAGAAAGTGATTAACAACTCTCTGTGCTTTCATCTCAAGATTGTTATTTTCTCTGCTCTCAGGGACAAAGCCTAGGCAGCTGTACCCTGTTATTTCATGAAGCCATAGCACAGTATCTGGTGATTTTGCCATCTTCATCTGCTCCATTTCAGTGAAATAATGAATGCATGGGGGGGCGGATTTCAAAAAAGAAAGGAAGCAAAATTACATTACAATCCAAGATCTATGGCATTAAGCGAATCTCTGTTCCTCAAACCTTTGATTTAATAAATAGCAACAGCTGGTGAAGAGGACGATTTTGTACACACACAAAGATGTGCGCACGCACACTCACATCTTGTTTTTGTGTACACACACACACACACACACACACACACGCAGAGTCACCGCCGTCTATATACATTCTTTGTTTCACCTCATATAGTTTTTAATTTGTGTGTTGTGATGTAGAGAGATATACTCAGAGAGTTAAAACTGATCACACAGGCAAAATGTCACAAACCATCTTCCTAATACACAATTGATTTAAAGGGTCCATAAATGAAGCAACGTCCCAAGAGGGTGATATCAAAGGTTTGGGAGACATTGTGTTACTTACATTAGTAGAAGTTGTGTCCCTATGGATGAAGACTCAAAATATTTGGAATGTTCTCACTTGGGAAAGGACATTTTCTAAGAGTTTGAAGTTACATATTTGATTGTCAAAAGTTAGTTTAATACTATTTCACAGAACTTCCGGAGAGGCTGTCAGCCACTTGCTCTGGAATCTGTCTCTAGTGCGTGTTTACGGCAGTCATTACCAGGATCCCACAGCTTGTTTGGTTATTCTCCTTACTTTTCCTAGTATATTTCATTTTTTATGTGAAGAAAAATATGAGGACGAGATGCCCTGAAGGAAAGAAGATTAGGAAAATGTCTCCATGATCTTTGCAATGTTTTAAACTGTTCACCTCTTGGATGCATGATCTAATTGAAGAGACAGTTTTAGGGGCCTGGTCCACTTATTATACGAAAACAGGTAAAGAAATAGATTAGACAATTAATCAAAAGTACGTTACCTCTGTGTTCTTTTGTTTACCCAGATTTCTTTACTCATAGAGGTCTTGGGGAGGTAGACATAGGAGGGATTTTTAAACTTGTATGTAACCCCCTTTATTTTTACTATTTCTCACCAATATTGAATTTTGAAAAAAATTCAGACATACACAAATTTGAAGAAAATAGTAAAATGGTCATCTATACCTATCTAGGTTCAACATTTGTGGACATTTTGTACTGATTTCTCTGTATGTATATTTCTATCAACATACTTATATTTATATGCTTTCCTGCCCTTAGCTGAATGCTTTTAAATAAAAAAAATAAATTTCTAAATGGATTTCTTAAGCCTCACTTATTCTGGAAGAGCCACCCTACTGTTTCAGCTGCAGGGTATTGAGAGAGGAGAGCATCGAATGTGCTGACCACTTCCCACTCTGGACTCGTCGGAGAGCTTCCCCAAAGTTCCATCTGCTTTGTTCCCCCATCTCTTGTTTTCATGTATCTGCCAAGTATGATCTAAAAGCTTGAATAGATTCAGATTTCAATTGTTTTAACAATTATACTTTTAAACTATTTATTTTATATTAGAGCATATTTAATAAGCAATGTTAGTTTCAGGTATATAGCAAAGTGATTTTGTTCTGCATATACGTGTATATCTGTTTTTTTTTTTTTTTCAAAGTCTTTCCCCATTTGTTGCTCAGTTGCTAAGTCGTATCTGACTCTGTGACTCCATGGACAGCACCACACCAGGCTTCCCTGTCTTTCACCATCTCCAGGAGATTGGTCAGACTCATATCTGTTGCGCTCGTGATGCCATCCAACCATCTCGCCCTCTGTTGTCCCCTTCTCCTCCTGTGTCCAATCTTTTCCAGCATCAGAGTCTTTTCTAATGAGTCAACTGTTTGCATCAAGTGACCAAAGTACTGGAGCTTCAGCTTTAGCATCAGTCCTTCCAATGAATATTCAGGGTTGATTTCCTTTAGGATTAACTTTTAGGTTATTACAGGATATTGAGCAGAGTCCCCTGTGCTATACAGTAGGTCCTTGTTGGTTATAAATAATACTTCACAGGGAATTCTGGATTATGTTATATTTGTACTTTAAGAGCAAGCTGAACCCATGATTTTCAAGGTGAATAAAGTAAGACTCATGGACTTCCCTGGTGCTCAGTGGCGAAGAATCCACCTGCCAATGCAGGAGATGCTGGTTTGATCCCTGGGTTGGGAGGGTCCCTGGAGGAGGAAATGGCAACCCACTCCAGTCTTCTTGCCTGGGAACTCCCTAGGACAGAGGAGCCTGTTGACCTACAGTCCGTGGGGTTGCAGAAGAGTTGAACACGACCTAGCAACTAAACAACAGTGTAAGACGGCTTCCTGCAAAGGGCGAAGAAACGAGATGAGCTCAAGGACTCATTTTGAAGATGAGAGTTGATGAAAGGCAGCCTGTGAGCCAGGGGTCCCTTCCTCCAGCAGATGTGCAGAAGCTTTTTCTCCTTCCTTGGCCAATTCTGTCATCAGTGCCGCTCCCTTGAACATCCAGAGGAGAGAGGTTGAAGGTTAGCTTAACCTACCACAAGATTCCCATGTTTACAGCTGCTAGAGGTAGGACAAGTTCAAAACAGTGACCTGGTTCAAGTTCCTGCATTCTAGGTAGCTAAAGTCTCACTAAGTCCTATAGTGTAATCAGTGATTCTCCAATCTAGTTGGCATCAGTTTCCCGTGGAGGGCTTGTTGAAATACAGATGCCGAGCCCTCTCCTAGAGTTTCTGATTCAGTCTGCCTGGGGAGGGACCCGAAGGTTTATGTGTCCAACAAACTCCCAGGTGAGCTGGATGGGGCTGGTCCGGAGCCCATGTTTTGAGAACACATGACTACAGTCATAGAATCCCTTGTGTAAATCTGTAGGAGTCACTCTAGACTTCGATTTCATTTGTTAACTTCTTGAATAAATCAGAAGCGAAAGAATCCTGGGAAATGGAATTCTAAGACCTGTATCTAAACTTAGGAATTTCCACTCCATATTGAACTGTTGATTTGCTTCCCAACCTATAAAATGGAAAGGCTCATACCAGATTACCTAGTAGTTTGGGCTAAAGATCAACTTGTTAATATATGTGAAACTGTTTTTCAAACTATAAACAGTAAACTCCTTAAAAGACAGAGGGACTGGCTCCCAGATGTCAGAGCCCTATGGAAACAGAAGCTTGACAGAAGGGAAGAGGCCGGACCTGGTGTGGTGTGAATACCTGGGTCTGGGACACGTCACAGGGAACAGACTCAGTAAGTACTTGACTTGGTTCTGGGAATGGTCACAGGATAATTAGTTAGTGAGAAAAGTGAGATAAGGTGAGATAAGTAAAATGAAACTTTACTTAATCCCTAACTTAGAGGCATAAAGTATCAATGAAAATTAAGACGATGGAAATAACAAGGGTTTACCACATAGCACAGGGAACTATATTGAATATCTTATTATAAGTTATAATGGAAAAACATTTTTTAAAAGAATAGAATATAGAATACACAAAAGTATATGATGCCTCAGTAGTAAAGCTTCCTCCTGCTAATGCAGGAGACACAGGAGATGTGGGTTCAACCCCTGGGTCAGGAAGATTCCCTGGAGGAGGAAGTGGCAACCCACTCCAGTATTCTTTCCTGAAAAATCCCATGGACAGAGGAGCCTGGTGGGCTACAGTTCATAGGGCCACAAAGAGTTGGACACCACTGAGTGACTGACCACAGCTACAGTAACATAGATGTATATCTGAGTCACTTCGTTGTACCCCTGAAACTAACACAATGTTGTGAATTAACTGTACTGCAACTAAAAAAAAGTAGGGTGGGGAGGAGACAGAGAGTAAAACTATTCTGTAAACTAGATTGCCGTCGACAGTAGGATATGTCATTAAGTGCTAGATGGTGAATACAGAAGTATTTTTTAATTTATGCTCAAACTTATTTTTTTAATGATTTAAAGCAGCTTACTGAATAAGATGTTATTCAAAGGAGAAAATTGGATACAGAATAAACTCAGAACAAGGGAATATTAGGTGTGGGTAAATAAACTGAAAAGAAGAGAATAAGATAAGGTAAAGAATTAAATTAAGAAGATGGAAGGAA